GGGGGCGTGACCACTACTGTCGGGGTGGGGGGCTGACCATTACTGACGAGGGTGGGGGGCTGGTTACAGTGCTTGAAGCAGAGCTAACCACTGCGTTTGCTGAAGAGCTAACAACACCACCACTTGATGGAGAGCTTGGGACAGTTTGTACAGGTGGACTGAGGTTGGGACACGGAGGTGGAGGAGTTGTTATCTTGTCCTCTGTCGTGCCCGGAGAGACTTGCTGCCCCTGCTCTGTCTTAGCAGGAGAGTGGGTCTGCATGTGTTCCTCGATCTGATGCTTGTACCTGGTGGAGAAGCTGCAGTGTTTGCACCTGAACTTGGTGGTCCACCATCGTCCCTCCACATCCACCCCGGTCATGTTACCGTCGGGAGGGGGGCTGGCGGCACAGCCAGGGTTACCAGGAGAAGCTCCACGGCTGCCACCACTGCTGCTGGTGGTCTCCGGTACGACAGGCACTTCCTGTTGACTCTGCGCCGCGCTGGCTGCCGGGCTGACAGACACACTCGGCTGTGCTGCAGTCTCTGACACCCCCAGTGCTAGATGCTTCTTCACGTGCCGTGAAACATGACTCTTAAAAGCAGCTTGGTAGTCACAGTACTTGCACAGGTACACACACTGCTGTCCGATGTTCAACACTTGGATGTGGTCTGTCAAGGTTAAGCCTTAGCAGCCACAGCACGTTTAGGAGACTTGCCAGGATGTAGATGCTGCTTGACATGTCTGGACATGATCTGTTTAAACTGTGCCACGTAGCCACAGTGGTTACAGGTGAAGTCACCTCTCCATGTCTGGGTGGCGTGCTTGGACAAGTCAAAGGTCTCTGTACTCCCTGCTCCACTGCTCTCTGCCTCGGCTGCCCCTGCCTGCCCCTCCGCCTCCTGTGGCCCTACAGGGGTGCCGACGCTATCAGGAGTTCCCCTGCTACCTGCCGCTCCCTGTGGCAAGTGTTTCTTCACATGCCTGGACAGGATGTTCTTGGCTGTGGTGGAGAACGGGCAATAGTTGCAGCTGAACACGCCACTTCTCCAGTCCTCAGTGATGTGCTGGGACACATTAAAGGGTGGCTGGGAGGGAGTGGGAGGAGTGGTGGAGGTGGCATATGGAGGTGAAGCCAACAGATGCCCATCGCTGGATGGAGTACTGGTTGTTTACTGTTGACTGCTTCCTGTAGAATCCTGGGTTCCTTGGGTGTTCTCTTCATCTTTACCAGACACACGTAGATGCCTTCTGACATGCCTGGATATGATGTTACAGTGCTGGGTAGTGTAGCTGCAGTACTTGCACAGGAAGTCTCCCCTCCATGTCTGAGTCACGTGGTTGGACAGGTCAAACTTGTGTTCTATATCAGGTGGCCTGGAAGTGGCCTGAGCAGTGAGTGCTTGTGGCGAGGGGAAGTTTGGACTACCCACTGTGCTCTGTGGCACGGTGCTGGCCTGTGTTGGGTGAGGCCTCTGGACTACTGATGTGACCACACTCCCACCTGCTGTTTGTGGGGCTGGCTGTGCACCTGATGTGTATGGAACAAAGAGGGCAAAACCTCCCAGGTTCTGCTGCAGTCCACTCACCAAGAACACCTGCCTGTTCTGTGGGTTGACCGCCTGCCCCTGGCTCAGCACTGACTGCTGGTTGGCACCGACGTTTGCAGGAGGCCTGACTAAGCCTGCAGGCATGGTAGGGTTAGGGGTCATCAGTTGTACTGAGGTCAGAGGGCGTGGCTGCTGCTGCAGGAGGGTCTGCTGCGGCTGGAACAGGGCCAGCTGCTGTTGCTGCTGCGGCAAGGAGGGCGGGATGGTCGCGAGGGG